GTTTAGAAAAATTATTTTTAAGGATATATTAAAAAAAGTAACAAGATTCATATACTTATAAGAATCACTATATGCGCTGTCTTTTTGCTGTTCTTTTATGGATCGTTTCTGGAGCATCTCTACCAAGAGTCCAACAGTAGTCTGCAAGCATGGAAGGACTCCACTTTCCCTGGTACCTTTTTTCCATTGTTGAAATATCCTGATGAAAACGTTTGCCGTGCTTATCACTTACGGCTACGCAATTGTCAGGAAAAAAGTCCAGGTGTGAGTGTATCTTAAGAGACATATTACAGCCCATCTTTTGATACGATAACAGCATATTTTTGACAAGGGTTTTATAGTTGTCAGCTTTTCTGTTTCCCAAGAAATTAGTGACCACCAGACGGAAATCATTCCAAGCAGTTTTTTCAATACCTGTTAAAGTGTTTTCAAACTGTGTATCTTTCAAAATATTTCGAATCTGTGGCCCAACAAAAATACCTTCTTTAACCTTTGCCTCGCTTAGTCTTGGAAATTTCTGACGCAGGTATTGAAAAGCTGACCCATCTCTATCTAATGCCTTGACAAAGTTTTTGATTAGGCCCAACTTGATATGCAGTGGTGGTAATAAAATTTTTTTCGAATCTACTAATGGCATATGCTGTACATTTTTTTGACCTGGCTCTAGCAATTGACGAATAGGCCAGTTTTGTCTGGTGTAATGAAGTGCCTTTGTCCGACTGTCCCATTCACACAAAAAACAGCAAAACTTTGTGTAGCCTAGCTGCAGCCCAAGTAAAAGTGCAACAACTTTCAAATCGCCACAAATATGCCATTGGTGCTCATCGTATTTTATGCATGTCAATAGGTACTTCATATTGTCATATGATTCTTTCGTTTGAACTGCATACCCTACAGGAAGAGATGGTAAAATATTTCCAATATGCAATAACACTGCCTTTAAACTGAATGTTGAACTGTCTATAAACAATCTCCATTCTTCTGGGTTATAGTTTATATTTAAAGCCGCCAGTAAGCCGTTAATGTTACTGCAGAAAACCAAGTTATTCTCCATATTGAAAAATGGTTCTAAGTCTTTGTGGCGTTTACGAAAAACACATACCGAAACATCGTCTTCTAACAAGTTCCACTGCTGCAGTCTTGATCCAAGTAACTCTGCCTTACATTTTGGAAGTTCTAAATCTCTTACAAGATCATTTAATTCTGACTGTGTTGTTTTGTGCGGTTGGTGGCATGACGTGCTCGGTATAAAATCAGGATCTCTTGACGTTGATGGCATATCTTCTTCCTGACGAATCACTCGATCGCCATGATCTGATTCGTTTTCTGATTCGCAAGTGTAGGATTCTGGGGGTTTTGGAATAGGATTTTCGTCACTGTGAGGCACAGGTCTCATCGCAGATGGTATGTTTGGGTAGTTAATAACCGATTTTTTTTCTTGGACATACCTGTGGCTTGTTCAACACAAGGTACCATGCAAAAGTAACAATCATTAATATGATTTGTAGGCTCTCTCCAAACCATTGGGTCAGCAAAGCGCATAGACCATTTTTTGCCATTTAACCAGCTCCTCAGACTTGAAGCACATGTATTACAGCAGATGTGGGGTGCCCACTGTTTTTCGTGATCACCTAGTTTACAACCGAAATAAAGCTGATGTGCCTTTGTTATTAGTGGAGTAATAGACTGTCTCTGAGACGCAAAAGTCACATCACCACACACGTAACAAAACTGATCTGGATTGTTTACACACTTTCGAGACATCTTGCATGAACGCTGTCAGCCAACTGAGGAAAAAATGGCTAATATAAAACAATATAATGTACACGTATGTATAACGTAACACAATCATGCCGATTACATCATCTTTCCTTGCCGAATATAAAAATGTAGCACGTGCATTCTTGTGAATTACAGTATATTAACACTGTCACAGCAGGAACATATATAATTACCGTATCTCTAAAACTTGAACTAATATTGATAAAATAAGTTTCATTCCGGTTTTAGCACATTAAAAATAGTAATATTTTGTTGATTTTATTTAGGATATTTTTTGGCTGTTGATCAGTGTAATTTATCGTGTTATCTCTTATAGCGCTTATATGACAGTACTCGTCTACGAAAATTTACTACACGATAGTAAATTTCTCTGTTGCTTGGACGTACTTTTTGTTTTGGTTTTCAAAACTTCGTGATGTGATTCTGCCAGTTTGTCTTATCGTTTTGTAGTGTATTAACTTTCAGCTGTATGTTAATTACAACCTTATACGATTTTTTTGTTTCCGTTGGAACTGTACTAAGGCAGAGAGAGAGAGAGAGAGATGCTAAGCAGGCGGCGATATTAAAAATTTAAATCGCATCACACTGAAATTGCCGTTTTCGTTGCTCTCTACATGAGCAAATTTTCCATCGGAAAATGCTGCTGTTCTGCTCCTGAAAATTCTATTTCGACGTTTTCAATATCATCATCATTTGCATATATGAAAAATGTATGAAACTCCAAATCTCGTTTCGCTTCAGTTGGATCCGAAAAAGGAGACGCTTAAACGTGATATATAGATGATGTAACAATAATTTAATCAGGGCTATATACATACTTTTGATAAATTGCAAATGTTTTCTTGAGAAAAAATGGAAGATTTGACAAGAAAATGCTTTGGAGGTATCAACATCATGCTAAAAACATGAGTCAAACTAATATCGGTCTCAGAACTTAGCACCCCATTTACACAGAGTTTCGTTCCAGATCACAGATATTCAAGGGTTTTTGGAAATGTTTCCATTGGAGACATGTTATAGGACTTTAGATGTTGCTAAAAGTGGGAGAAGCAAGGAATTCTTAGCTGCTGGGATTATGAATTCAAATTGGACCTAGAAAATGAGTCGCTTGGGACCCTCCGTGAATACTAGCATTGAACTGATATTGTAATCGGAACTTATTTACCTAATTTTAAAAATTCCTCATTGAACATACGAGGGTGGTCCCAGAAGTACCCGGCCTGACCTAGAGATGGCGATAGTTGTTTGAAAAATATCATTGTATTAGGAAGTATGCAACCTATAAAGCATATGTGTCAAGTTTGAAGACGCCCCGTTGTTTAGTATTTGTTTGGCAGCCATCAATACTGAACGTTTTCAGTGAATTTTTGAAAATGGAGAAAATTGGTCATCGTTATCTGGTACAAAGACCACAGCCCAACCAATATAAAAGCTGAACTGGATTCTACTCTGGGTGAGTCTGCTCCTTCGTTTACAACAGTAAAATATTTGGTAGCAGAGTTTGAACGGGGCCGTATGAGCTGCCAAGACGAGCATCGCAGTGGTCGACCAAATGAGGTGACGACTCCAGAAATGGCGAAGAAAATTCACAAAGCGGTACTGAATGATCGTCAACTGAAGGTGCGCGAGCTAGCAGGCATTCCAAAAAGTGCGGTTCATCGCATATTATCTGAAAATTTGGACATGAGAAAGCTGTGTGCAAGGTGGGTGCCGCGATTGCTCACAATCGAGCAGAAACAGTGTCGTGAAGATGTTTCAAATGAGTGTTTAGCGAAGTTTCACAGCAACAAAGCAGAATTTTTACGTCGTTTCATGACCATGGATGAAACATGGGTCCATCACTTCACACCCGAGACCAAAGAACAATCAAAACAATGGACTCAAAAGGGACAACCGGCCCCAAAGAAGGCGAAGACCATTTCACCTGCAGCCAAGGTTATGGCGTCGGTTTTTTGGGATGCGCGTGGGATAATTTTCATTGACTATCTTGAAAAAGGTAAAACTATCAACGGCGAGTATTATGCCAACTTATTGCAACGTTTGAGCGATGAAATCAAGCGAAAACGGCATAAATTAACGTATACTTAGGTCGAATTCGAAAATTGCAGGTAAAAAGTTGTGCTGTGGGGCCAAAAAATAAGAGTTATAACCCCTGGCTATGACTATCATGCTCTTGGCATTCTTATAGCTTATACAAAATTTCAATCAATTAACCTATAATTGAAAACCAGTCCCTCTAATACAATCCTCATAAAAGCCGGGTGTTCCTCAGGGAGCTGCAAATACAATAAACTCAATTATCGAATTATCCATTGCATAGGTATCGAGTTACATGCACGAGTCGCTGATGTACTTTCAGAAGGGCAGAAGGGCACTTTCTCATGTCAATCGCGTGTCGGTTTGTTCTCTAAGGGACGATCTGTCTGGGGACACGTCTCCTTAGATTTATGGAATTTTAGGCCATAGGATGCGTGGCTACTACAGAATTTCAGCAACATTTTTCCTCAACTGACGTGTTATTCGATATAATGAAGGAAAAGTCATCATTCGTCGGAAAATTTGTATATTATTTATATAAAAGCACACGATAAATCGCAGAGAATGGAAATTACAGGACAAGTCTATACTTTAGCGCATATCGCAAATACTTCATTTCTCACTTTAAAATGAAAGATTACGATGTAACTTTTACGAAAATATCATTTTTTCTTTAAGGAACCCTCTGCTTGCTATTTTATAGAACTTCGAAGTTGCATTTTTGGTGGTAATACTATAATAGAATACTGTTCTATATGCCATGACCAGACATGTTATTACACATTCGCTTATTAGCTTAAATAATAGATCAAAATACATACGTAAATGATGGTACTTACTTGGTAAACTGTGTAGAGGCGTTATTAAAAGACGCAGTTTGCTTATTACATAATGCGTGGACAAAAGTGTCAACAACTGCTTTAGAACAGTGTTGGAAAAAGTTGTTAGCTGAAAACTTAGATTAATGACCCGGAAGATTCAATACCATTAAGCTTATTGCGCGTACAAATAAAACAGCAACTGGAGACTATTGAGGACATTTCAACAATGCTACAAAAAAACATCATCTGAACAGTTTACAGAAGGGGAAATCTTGGAGTGTGTGGAAGAAACTGAGGAACATATTCTTCGAGACGAATTTCAAGATGACTATTCTGAAAATTCACTATGTGACGTAGAAACACAAAATGGAAACCAATTTACTGTTCCAAAAGTTAAACATAAAGAAGCAATTGCGCATTACACAGCAGGAATTAAATGGGCAAAAGACAACAATGTTGCACTTACCTCCATCCTTGCCTTAAAAGACTTAATAAAAGAAGCTGTTATTAAGTCGCATTCTGAACATAAAAGGCAAACAAAAATACACTTTTTTTAATAACTAACTTTTTGTTGACTTTTTATTTTGTTATTTGCTTATTTTAGCTATGTAGATAATGTATGTTTCAGTTTTTATGAAATAAACATGTTTGTAATATCAAGAACTTGTTTTCCTTATGATTCCCATTAATCCGGATTTTTCGTTAGTCCGGATTGCACCTGGTTTTAATTGATCCGGATTATCGAGTCGCTACTGTAGAAACAATTCTCAATAACGCTTATTTCTTGACAGATAAAATAAATGACGTCCATTGTTGCCAAGTTGTACATTTTTGGTAGAAATGAGGTTATTTGCAAAACAAAAGTCTTATTTTTTTGTAAATGGCTTGTTTTATGAAAAATTGTCCCAATATTTACCGAAAACTAGATGAAATTTTGAACAGTATGTGTCTAAACAGTGGAAAATGTACCAGCGGCTCGCGTGGCATAAAAAATACAAAAAGGCACCAGCGGTCGTTGAAGAATTCAAAAATAATTTTTATTTGGTAAAAAACCATTGGCGTACCAGTTTTTTAAATATCGAAGTCAATACCCGGACGCACGCCACTGTTCAAGCTAAAAATTATTTTGGCATTGAAAAATATACAGCTTTATTAACTTTCACTAAGTACTAAATATCAGTGAAATATCTGAAGTGGTTCTGAAAATATTAATTAATTTCCATTTTTTTCCTAGAACTTCAACACCCCGAGTTTTTGTATGGAAACATTTTTGGGCCATAGTTTATAAAGCAAACTAACATTAATGTTTTATGTAGATTCACACCCTTAAATATTCGCATATCATTAAGGAACGACCTGTATCGTAATTAGAACTGTCAATTGTACTTGAAGAAGGCTACCGCTGTGAGCGAAACGACGTCGTCAGTTAATAGCATTTCAGGCCAATGTGGTTTCATTTAGTGGCCAGACAAATATGGAGGATTATTGGCATTATGTGACGTTGTGAGGCTCTGTGATAACACAGTCAAATGATATTGCGGTGGAATACTCTTTGTGTCCTTATGATATTAAGATGAGATCGACGATCATACAGAATCATACTTTGCAGAGAAGGCGGATTTTGGAACTTACTATGTATGCAGGCACAAAAGCGATGGTCTATGCATAGGTACACGTCTCATTACGAACTGTGAGACAAATTTATTAAGCGCGTGCGAGCAATATAAGCGCCCTATGCATATTCAAACAATGTTTTATTCCGCATAACAAAGGAGGGTAAATTAAGGAGGAAAATCGGAAGAGGACTAAACAAAGAGCCCTCGTCAGATTTTCATATCGGTAGGCGTGATGGTAGGTAAGGTTGGAAACAGGCACTCATGCTGCTGCTCCTGTCATTTTGAAGCTCAAACGTCTGCCACTTCAACGAATTTTAATTGGGGTGTACAATTCTCTTCTACGCCTCCTTTTATTGTTTTTCTTTAATTGCGTTTCCGTTTTGAATATTTTTATTTGGACTTCTATTGTTTAAACAGAATATCGAGGTTTTAGAAAAACATTGGCCGAACAGTTCTCATGATTTTTCTGTGAATAAAAATGAGGCTTATCTCCGCAACTGCTGTAAGAACCGTTCTGGCAATAATTTCAATACTTTGGATCAAAGGAGAGTCGTACCGGTCAGTTTTCGACGTAATAAGTTTAAGGCAACTTCTAGCAATGGCCACATCAGCCAGTTTTGAATTTTGTAAGTAGTGGGACAGAGCTTAAATAGCAATATAATATAATGGTCACATCTATCCTTGAATTTTAATTGAATAACAATGCATTCTTGATGAACGTCTAAAAGAAGGATTAACGATACCGATTTCACAGTAGGTTGCAATTTTATAGCGAAATGCTATTTTATAGCAAAAGATGCAAGATTAACATAGGCAATATAGGCAATCAGTGTTGCAATCATCTGAAATTCTTTTTGTACAGTGCGTTTGACAGTTTGGGTGTATCATTACAGTTTGGAATTTTCTTGAATATTTTGGTCATAGCCTCTAACTTGATGGCGTTTGTTCATAATAATGAGTTCGAAGAAGATACGAAAAATGTCTATTATACAGGGTGTTAATAAAGTATGTAGACAAACTTTAACCATCGAATCCTTGGTCAATTCAAAGACTAAATGTTCATATGAACATGGGTCCGTAACGGCTTTCGTTTCAAGCTAGAGCACTATCACTAAAGAAATACTAGTAATGTTCCAAATATTTCTATGAATAATGAAACGTATTTATTGAACAGTTGGTATAACCTACGATAAATTTTGCATGTTTTACGAGTTGCTGGGGCTCGATATGATCGTGGATGAAAATCTGTTTTGTTTTTGGAGAAAAAGTTATTTAGATGGTCAATAGTTTTGAACAGTACCATTCAAATAGAACGACAACAATAGAAAATATCGAATAATTGACCTGACAAGAAAACAAATATTTGACAGCTGTCGAATTATTTGAAAAAATAAATGTATTCAATTGTTATTGGGTACGTCATAGGTGTCTAGATAAACACAATGCTTAAGTATTAAAAGTATCGTGATCAAAACAAATCAATGTCATGCTATTTTTTTAAAAAATACTGGATAACATTATCCGTATCTACGTACATGGCGGGACTGAAAACAACTATAAATCATGTGATATTCACCATAGGGCATATTCAATTAAAATAAAATGCGTTCCATTCTTTTATAATTTTTTAGACCAATATCATTTCTGTTAGTGCTAATATGCTCTAGCTTGAAAACAAAAGCATTGCGGACCCCTGTTCATATGGAAATTTCGTCTTCAAATTGACCAAGAATTCAATGTTTAAAGTTTGTCTACATACTTTATTAACACTCTGTATATCCTTTCCAAAAACGATTTCTTAGAGATTTCCCTAAATTTTATACATACAAGCGCTCTACTTACTGTTGTTTGACGTTTGTTCATAATGTTTCGCAAGTTATTCCATGCAAGGCTTTTTAAAATGGAGAAGCCTACCTGTTTGTTTGTTTTATCTTCAACTATTCCTTCCAACTTGTCTAATATCTATAATACTGACATCTTCTTTCTTAGAATTTGTTTTAATTTTACTGTTGCTAATTATTATGAAAATCCGCCGATCGATTTACAGATCGTGAGCCAAATATACTAAGTGACATATAAATCCGAACACCCAGTTTAAATGGTTTTATTTTAATAAAAGTTGGTGAATGTATTTATCTTACTGTAAATAACAAGTGAAATAATTTTCAGCCTTATCAGTTGGACATTCCGGTTTTTATACTGCTTTTTTCAATTCACTAACGCTCTAAAAATGAATATTTCAGCCGCAGTAAAGAATCAACGTTGGCGGATTTTGGTTCTTGACATCCTTTACGATCGGTTACGATGCCTAGAGTACGGAGACCTGTACGATTTCGTCAACTTAGTGAGTTTGATAGGGGCCGTATAGTGGGACTTCGTGAAGCTGGACTTTCTTTTCGGGCAATTGCAGTTAGAGCGCAAAGAAGTGTAGACACTGGGGTTAGATGTTGTCAGGCATGGCTTCGAGAAGGCCGTACGCAAAGAGCAAGGGGCGCTGGACCCCGCCGTAGAACAACAGACCGTGAAGATCGCCGCCTAAGATTATTGGCCTTAAGGGACCGTTTCTCCACTACCAGGTCCATTGCAAATGAATGGTTTGCAGAACACGGAAGACCTATTGGCATGCGAAGTGTTTACCGACGAATGAGAAGTTTTGGCTTGTTTTCATACCGGCCACACTGGGTCCTCCCTTTAACTCGAGAACACCGACGTAATAGCCTTGAGTGGTGCAGACAACGGTCATTCTGGGATGAGGAATGGAACAGTATTGTCTTTAGTCACGAGTCTCGATTTTGTTTAGGCATGCACGATGGTCGTGCCAGGGTTAGAAGGCGACGTGGTGAAAGGAGGAATCCACAGTTTTTTGTTGAAGGACATGTTCATCACACTGTTGGAGTTATGGTTTGGGGTGCTATAGCTTATGGTTCCAGGTCACCTTTAATCTTCATCAGAGGTAACATGAACGCGCAGCGTTATATCCACGAAGTTCTAGAACTCCATCTTTTACCCTATCTTGTCACCCTGGCAGATCCAACTTTCCAACAAGATAATGCCCGACCACATGTTGCAAGAGTCACAATAGACTTATTTCAACATAATGATGTCACATTGTCACCATGGCCACCAAGATCTCCCGACTTATCCCCAATTTAGCACGTGTGGGATATGATGGGTAGGAGATTGCTCAATTTGCGACGTCCTCCTCAGACTCTAGAAGCACTTCGAGAGGAGTTGGTGGTTGCCTGGAATGAGATACCACAGGAGGACATTGACCACCTGATCAGAAGCATGCCTAGGCGCGTTGGAGAATACCTAGCACATCAGGGTGCATCCACACATTATTAAAGGTCAAAGGGCTTTGAAGCAGTGCAATCATTTTGAAATTTTTATCATTTACTTATTATGCTTCATTAAGTACTTATACAAAATTTTATTAAAATAAAACCGTTTCAACAGGGTGTTCGGATTTATATGTCACTTAGTATAATTTCAAGCTGTATGATCCGCGGAGTTGTCAAACCTTAATAGATTATTGCAACACTGATTGCCTATATACAGGTAAGTCTAGTTCGCTCTGATATAAAATTACTATTCGTTATAAACTCGAGGAAGCAGACACTTTGTACTATAATTTTACATTGTTAGTAACATAATAAAAAAAAACCTTTCCAAATTGATCTGCAAAATACTAAATCGAGAATTCCATGACAGCTTCTGTTGGCTCCAACTGCAATGAACGTTTATAAAGTGCCCACTAGACCACTCCAAGTGTGCAAATAGTGCAAAAGTGCAAACCAGTGCAAGGCGCTGTTGCCATGTCTGTTACCCACCTGCAAAGCTTCTTATGGACTAAGCTTGTTTAAGAACATGCACCTATAATAACTAGAACATTACGTCCGGGATTGATTCTACAAAAATAATTGGAGCACTACTCATACGAATCTGTACAAACTAAGCTATAAGCGAATTAGGCTGATTGTGCCAATTGCCATCCCCTA